TATATCAAGGAAAAGTTTTAAAAAATACATAAAATTACAAAAATTTTATGATGACTAACAAGAAATGAAATCTGCACACATCAATTAACAGTGGGTAGCAGGTTCATAATTGCTTAACTATTAAAATTTTCCAACAACTTACTCAGAGTGCCAAGCAAATTCTAAGCACAAAATGTCAGATAATTATTAAAATTTATCAAATACTAATATAAATTCATGCATAACATAAATGAATCTATTGAATAAAGCACTCTATCATTAAATAAATTTCAAAAAGTTTTCCAAAGACACAATGGATGAAAGATGAACACATAAGTACTGGTTAATGTACATAAAGGAATACTCATTTTAGAATGAATAATTATGGTGTTGACTAGCACTGTAAATTTGAATGGGGAAATATTAGCCAAAAAAAAAAAATTTATTCTCTCACTTTTTAAATTATAAGACATCATATATAAACTTTTCAAACAAAATATGTACAATGACTTTAAATTTTGAATAAAATGTATTACCAGTCAAAAGAAATCACTTAGCAAATTCAAAAAATTAAAACTCGCACATTTATCAACATAATATCAATGGAAAAAAAAAAGGGGGGATGACAGTATATGCTTTAGCACACATCGATAATGTTTGAACACTATGACAAAAGGTGAAAATTCAACAATTACAGACCTTGAAAATTTCATGATTGTACAAGTGAGGCTGAAACAACGTGCCTTTCATATTAAGTGAGTAGAGAACACTGAATTTATGAAGTGATTTTTAACAGTATGATACCAACATGATCAAAATGAATAAGTGCTTTTGATCCCTATGCAAAGTTGGCATCAAAACTACCATGCAATTATGTATCGTCTATGCAACAGTATGTTTCATTAGTATTAACAATAAAACATTATGAATACACATTTATTATTCAAGGTACAATAAAGCCAACTACATTCTGCACCTAGTACGTCAACAGCACTAACATGTATTATATAACTTAAATTATGTTAGTTTAAAGGAGTGTAATTTGATAGAAAATTATTAGTTACACATTTTTTGTCTATGTTTTGATTACTGCAAATAAAATGTAAAATTTGGCATTGAGATATTAAAAAACCTATATGATCTGTTCTTTTCAAGACACAGAAATAATGTTAAAAATTATATAGGATAGTAAGTCTGTTCAAACAGTGTAGTTTAATAAAGTACGATACTTGATGTAGTATAGAAAAATCTTACTGAGAATTGTCAATATCTAAAAAAGGTCACTTTTTATTCCAACAATACATATTTTCTATTTTAAAGGTATGGTTAAGAAATTAACATTAAACTTAATACAACTGTTAAATAGCTTAAAATTTTACTATGCAAAAAATAAATTAAAGAAATATTTACAAGCACATGCAGGCTCAATAATTAGTGTTCTCTTCTAACATGGTATTAAAAAATTATTGACCATGCATTGTTTTCATAAAAGAAATTAACAACTTAATTTTATAGAGATGATAATATTTGTTTCTAATATAACATTAAAATTTGGAAAAAAAAAAAAAAAACACTTGCTACTGATGGGCAATAATTCTACTTAATTCAAAGTAATGCAACCATAGTTATATACGACTCTATTGCTCATATATGATAAAAAATAAATTAACAAAAATACGATTCAGAAAATTTAGTCTACAGCTTTACCAATATTCAATATAATTTACAGCCTATGTTATGACTGATAAATAAAATTTCAGATTTGCTAATTAAATATTAAAAATCTGTGTACTTGGAACCTAACTTAAATGATCATTCTATACAACAATATATTATTTATGAGTTAAAAAAACAAAATTGGCTCAATGCATGAACAAAAAAGGGGGAACTGACAATAATTCAGTCACCTGTATTTCATAAGTATCAAAAACTCAAAATTAAATAAGTTGCTATTTTCATAGTACTAGGCTATAAAAATTTGTGATTTACACAAAACATAATGTTTATAACACATTTTTTGAATGAGACTAGAACCTTATATAATTTTCTCACATTAAAATGGTTTATAAATACAACTACAAGGTTTGTGTGTATGCATTTGTATACACAAACATACACATAGCACGTTCACAAAATTCCTTAAGTGATTTATAGTTTCAAAACCATTAGTCATAGTCATAGAATTCTACTCATAAAAGCATTTTAAATGATGCAAATATTTGTGTTTTAGCATTTGTAAATAAAAAGTATCAATTTTGTAAAAATTTTGGAACCTAACATTTTATGTGTCCTTTTCTACACATATTATTATGAAAAGTACTGAAAATACAATTTTTTATCAAACAAGAGATCTTATTCATGGAATATTTGAGAATTTTGTTCTAGAAAACACTGGCAGGCTTTAGTACCATCATACTGCCAACTCATAATCTTGTTTGCATAAATTATACATTAAAAAAAAATTCTAGCTTAATGAATTTTTGTATGATTTTTAGATTAAGGTTCTAAAATAATGAAATGACATTCAGATATTAACATATTTCTAATATTTCAAAATGCATAAATTATAACGGTGAAATTTTTTTTACCATACAGTTGCAACAAAATTATGAATTAAAGAACATTACACAGTAGTAAATCACAAGAATATCACTTAAACAGCATTTAAGGGGGAAAAATCAGCCTCAAATTATTTTTATTTATTTACTACCTGTCACTGAAGACAAGTTAAAAAAAACACAAAAAAATTTAAAACTAAAAACCTTATTCAACTTTTGCTGTATGGGAGTCAAACTTTTTCCACTTTATTTTTTCTAATGAATATAAAACTTTCCTAAATATACGCAAAAGAACCTGGGAAAACATAAAAAGTTGAATTTTGTATCTTATGCAAAATAATTTTTTTTTTTAAATTTAAAAGTAGAAAAACATGAATTTGCACCATTTAACACATTTACGTAATTGAAAGTATACATTTAAGACCAAAGTTGCAAAAATTAAGATGAGGTGAGGAATTTTGTGGGCACAGTGCATATATTTACACCATACATATCTTAGATGCCCTTCAACTATTTCACAAAAATATTTTGTACACTAAAGCAAGCAAGATTCATATATATGACAAAATGAATTTATAAAACATTCTTGAATATATATATATATGTATACATTCTAGTATTTAAGACCCTAATAATAATTTTTCACAGAACAATTATCCTTAAAATTGTTCAAACAAAAATTTTGCAGTTAAATTAATATGCCAAATATATCAACCAACTTCAACAAGAAATATTTATCTAGATTAACAGTATATCACAATTAAAAATATGAACACGTTTTAGGTTTCAAACCACCACCACATTGTGCAAAAACACACCAGATACTTATTTTACAAATTAAATAGATTCAAAATAACTAGAATGTGACTAGTTTTCAACACTGAAGAAAGACTATAACAGCAATAAGATATCTGATTTAACAAGATCTCTACTGTTTCTCATATGACTATCTCCCCCCCCCAAAAAAAAACCTCAGTTGGATAAATTTTATTAAGACATTTGCAACATTGAAATTGAATATTTATCAGCATGCTTTTACTTATTCAGCAGAATATAAATTCAAAACAATGAAATAAATTGCAAATATAAAACAATACAAAAAATAAACAGTATTAATCCAACAAACATTAAAATTGGCATATATCATATTGAAATAACGCTAACTTTTAAGAAATACGAATATTTAATATTTCCTAGACATACAATACACAGAACATTAACATTGCTATATTTTTCATTAGGAAGAAAATATTAATTTAGAAATTAACAAACAACAATAAAAATATGGCAGATTTATAGTTATTAAGTAGCACATTGCAAAAATTAGTTTCATTCCCTCATAAATATCATGAAATTTAATAGGTTAATCAAAATATATCTATTCCACCATTTTTCTAATCTGGAATTTCAAGAATTTAGTTTCAAATATATACGTAAAAAAGGGCAAAAAATTAAGACGAAGAAAAGAAAAAAAATAGTAAATAATAATGCAAAATATGAAATATTTTCAAGTACTTGAAAGAGTTTCATTAGCAAATTGCTTTCAAAAATACCTGCTCAATAAACTTGTTAATTTTGAAAATTGTCATCGAAAAACAAAATTCCATATTGTTATGAATTCAGTATCTCCACTAGAACACAAAATATGCTGTAATAAAGATAATTTGCATTTATATCCATGACTGACAAGAAATTTTTAATATGTTAACTGACCCAAGCATTGAGTTTGATAAATAATATCTAATACATAGCAATTATACTGTAATTACAGAAAGTCAGCATTTATATTCATGGTCCATTATAAAAATTTTAAAACATTTATTAACATAAAAGCAAATCCTTGTAAGAACTTTATACACAAATTCTGTTTCAAATAATTCAACATACTGAAATAATTCAAATTAAAAATCATTTTTAAAATATTTGCAAATGTTAAAGGTATAGAAAATTGCTGATATATTAAAACTTGACTAGTACACAAATTTCTTCTTTTTTTTTTATTTCAAAACATTACAACAAAAAAATGCTGATTGTTACTTTTTAGCACCTGCACTTAAAAACAAATATTATGTGTTCAAGAAACTTTCTGAGTACCCGTAATTCAGATAGGGTTTTAACTATAAATGGAAGTCAATATCAAGATGTAGTAATAGACATCATATAAACAGATTAATTATATTTTAATTTGTAACATAATACACAGCAGAAAGCATGCAATAAGACAACCACATTAACAGATAATGATTATCAGTAATATGATATGACTTGGATTTTTGAATACTTTTTTTAAATAACTATTGTACATTTATAAAAACAAAAAATTAGTATTACTAATTAAAATTTTAATCATTAGCAAAACACTTAAATTTTATACATTTTGGATTAAATTACACTGTAACAGAAAAAATATAAAAGTATAGCAAACTCGTTATTTAATAAACATAATTACTTAACCTTTTAAATAAATTATTACTGAAAATTTTAAAATAAACTCTATCTTAAATAAAAAATAAAATTATTCATTTTTTAAAATTTTTATGAAAAAATATTTAAATTTACAAGATAGGTGGGTATAGAATAGATGCTAAATTTGAACTTTGAAATTTCAGCAATTTCATTATTCAAATCTTCAGCTTCAGCAACATTTTTACAAATATATATTTATAACAAGATTTTAAAAACTCACAAGAAAAGAAAAAGAGTATTAAAATATTTAATCATGAAATAAAGCTAAATGGAGATTCATTGCTCAACATAAATTAATGAGAAGATTTAACAATACATAAAAAATAAATAAAAAAGAGAGAATTACAGTTAGGTTAAATTTAAAAACTATATAACTAAGAAATAAAATTCCGTGAGCCTAAATGTGGCTGCTGCTTTGTGTGTGTGTCTTGGTGATTCAATTAATTAATTTATGATTTATCACTGTGCCTTTCATGTATGTTATTATTCATTATGACTAACTGTTTAATTATAGCAAGAATGAAACTTCAAACCTAAAATGTTAAAATATTTAACTCAAAGACTGGTGTAAAATCTTTAACCACAGAAGTTACATATTCCTTGTTTAAATATATAGGGTGGGTGAAAAGGATTGCTATGATATCAAACAGGAAGATAATAGGTAATAAAAGATTTTCCTTGACCCATCTTCCTGTTTCATATTCACACTTAATTGAAAGACTTCAGAGACTGTAGACCACAAACAGACTGGATATTAAAGAATGGCCTAAAGAGTGGAGAAGGAATCTCGATAGTCTACTCCATCTGCACTATGATAACAACAATGATATAGTAGACAAGATGCCAGCGAGGCTAAGTCAGAGATTAGAAACAGACAATAAATTCCAATTTTGATGTGGAAGCGAAGGTTGCTAAAGAGATACAAGATCGAGCTGAACACAGGATGAAAAGGAACAGTTCTATTTCAAATGTGCAGCAGCTCATTGACAATGACCACTCAATCTCAACTCATGATATTTTTTAACATCTGGGCCACAGAAAGACCAAGTGTTTCAACAAGAGTCTTCATCAGCACACATGACCAGAAAACTCAGAAGTGGCTTAAGAATAACTTTCTTGACTACGCTGTACCTTATAAGTGGTTTCCAAATACATTTGACTGCAATCCTCTTGATTATTATTTGATTGGATGTTTTAGAGATGTTTTTACATAATATATTTTCCACAATAGTTTTGTTCATGAGCCTTGTATATAGCCAATCTTAAGGGCTTTCATTTTGTATGGGTTGGTTTTTACATCAGTTTTCAATGCCAGATCAGAAACAAAAAAATTTCAAAAAACATGGAATCAATTACACTTTATGCAAGTATTATATATTTAGGCTTAGTTATCTTCTACTTATTAAAATTTTAAAATATCAAGTATATAAGTTTAATTTGTAAGAAAATGGAATGCATTAATTATCTCCTGAACACCAAAAAAAGACATCTAATAGGCATGATGTCAGTGACAAGCATTATTTTGGCAGTCCAGGACACTCTTAACAAGCAGATTAACTTCACATAACCCTCTAATTTCATTTTTCAGATTCATATTATACTCTATATATATTAATATAGTGTAAAATTACCTAAATGAATTAAGTATTCAGGAAATTAAAATTATAAGTAAACTATGACTATCAACAGAAGTAAAGTAAACATAGTTATAAAGTATTTAAAGAATGTATATTTTACATAAGCTTTTTACTTATTTTCGTGTGACCATTTACTGTCACAGATTTATGTCACTTAAGAATATAGTTTAGGAAAGAACTAAATTCAAAAATTTAATTAACATTTGTAACATCAGAACAAAATAAATCTTAACAAAACATTAAAATTACATTATATACAGCACATATAACAATTAATAAAATAAATAACAATATATAAAATCTCCAAATTCTATAATAAATATAACAGGAATAATATTATATTAGCAGCAAAAGAAGCTAATTAATTTATGGTACCAATCTCTTACTAAAAGAAATTCATTAGATCTAAGAATTCATTACTTTTTGTTAATACAAGAACACTGATACCTTTTCTACACAAAGCAGCATCTGTGACTACTAGACACACAGTCTGGAAAACTAGACAAGTATGAAACAAAAGTATGAAATTCTAAGAGAATTTGTCAAAAGTAATACAGCATTTTCCCACGACATGTAACCTACAGCAAACATTCATCTATAAAACATGCATAGGCAACATTCTAAATTCCACATAAGGAACCATGTTAAAAATAAGTAGTAGATCTGTGCTTATTGTTTTCCACAGAAAAATAGAGCAATTATTCAAATATAAAGGTATTTTATCATTAATATTATAATTGTTTTTTCTTAACAAGTAATGCACAAAAACTTAAACAAAATTCTATTGAAAATATCTGTGGCAATCAGTTTTGTACATTTCTTTAGCATATTCTTTCCTGAACGTGTGATAAATAAAAATACAAAATTCTTCTCCTTTTCCAATACTTAAAACACATTACGTGAACTTTTACATTTTTTACAAGTCTGTTTCAGACTCCACACAAATTTTCAAACGCAGCTGATAAAAGTGGGAGGTAACTTATTATATCCTCTGTGCTATTCAGCATTATCCAATTTTAAAAATTTTAACCAAAAAGAATAATTAGAATGAATTTTTCAAACAAAGCACTGATTTTAATTAACAGTACTAAAACAATTTAATAAAAAAAAACATAATTTAAAATTAATAATCTCAGGTACCTATCATAAATATCATATTCTTCACTCATACTCAGCATACAATAAAACTCATGCATTATTTGTTAAGAAAGAACTAATACCAATGCATGAGTACAACCAGTAATATTAAAATGCTAATATTCTTTTTATTAGGTTTATCCCCCCCCAAAAAAAAATTTTTTTTTCATTCTCTCAAAACACAAATTTATGTACCAAAAGAAAATAAAAGTCTACATACAAAGGAACAAAAATAAAACAAAAAAATCTAAATACACATACCAAAAGAAAAAATAACTAATCTACATTTAACTGCCTTTTAACCAGGAGGGGGGAGGGATTTACATAAAGATACTTCAAATCACATAGAACTTCTAGAAATAATAAAACTTACCAGAAATCTCGTATATACCACAAAGAAAGGGGAGGGGGAAAGTAAAAAAATAAAGGTTAAAATAATAGAAATCAATGTTTAAGCAAATTCCAATTAAAAATAGAAAATCTTAAATTAATTCATTTAATCAATGAAGCACTTTATGAAGATGGCAGGGCTATCCAATATTTGATTAGTAACATGAAAAAATGAAATACAAAAAATTCCAAACACTTCGAAAAATTTTTATAAATCAAAATGCTCATTCACATACTGCAAATCAATACTTAAATGCACTTGCACATCATTAAGTTCAATTAAATTATTCAGGTCACAGAAAAGGTACAAGATAAAAACAACACAGCCTTGTTTTTATATACATAACAGACACAATTATACAAAAAAAAAAAAAAAAGAGAAAACATTCTAAAATGACAGCAGTTCATTTTTTTGCGATTAATAAAGCATTTTCAAAAAAATTTCATTTGTTTGAATAAATTCTTTATCACCTAATAATAAGAAACATTTAACTACTCAAAATATACTCATAATTATATACAGAAATTCAATGCCGCTAAAAACAAAAATTCTGAACAGAAAAATGCACAACCCAGACATATTGTACAATAAAACTGTATGGAAAAATCTCTGACTAGAAATTGAAAATATGAGAACAGAACAGCCAATTAACTGTTCAAAATGCATAAAATAAGAATGCTAGCTGCCTAAATAAAATTTTAATACTCATATTGCCCACCCATCTTGTGGCCAATATCTTGATCTTGCATAGGTGGTGCTTCTTGCTGTCCCATTGGAGGTAGCATAACAGGAGGCTGGATCTGTTGATGGAAACTTGTTTCCTTATACACAAACCACAGACTTGAAATCCAAAGCATACAGTTAGCAAATCCAAATATCTGAATATATATAAAAAAAAAAAAAACAAGACATAAACAAAAAAAATTTAATTATAAATTAAATCAATATTGTTGTTGATTCATAGAAATATCTAGTTTGATTTATATTTATTTTTTTACAATTATGCACCTGTATTTACTTACCTATTATTATTATTATTATTACTATTTAACACTTGATTTGATCTCACTTTATTCTACTTTTAAGCATGTTCGTTTTAATCACTGCATAATAACTACACATTTAGATACTTAATTCTCTCTTTATGCATTAGTGTATCAAATTTTGTATAGACAGCCACTAAAATTTTCTAAATAGCACAAACATAATTCAAAACTTCATTAGTTAAAAGTCAAATTAAGCCTTGCAGAAAAAAAAAATCTTTAACCAAGTTATAGATATTTTGAAACATTATAAACACATGGTCTTGTGAACACAAAAGTAACCAGAGAAATTTTATCAGAAAATACTAGGTCCCTTTTCTCTCAATGGATAAAACAGCAAATGATAGAAAGTCATCAGTCAATTCAGCTGAGAGTTCAACAGTACATTCAAAGCTTAATTAAATATTTAGAGTCTTTAAAGCTCTATGCTATGAGCTTTCAAAACGTCCTATACTTTAGACCAGTGGTTCTCGACCTTTTGACAAACCTGTGCCATCTAAATAAAAATTGAAAAACTTTAGTACCACCACCACATTTTACATTGATTATTTTTCAGTTTCTCGATATATTAAAAATATATATTTTGCCATTTGCACTTTTTATATTAAATATGACACATAAAAATATTAGATTAAAAATTGGTTACCATCTTAATTATATCAAAATTTAAGTTATCATACTTTAATTCTAAAATTTAGTGTGAAATTTCGGCCGGTTTAAGAGAGCTTAATTTCTTTATATCCGGTCATATTTCACTTAATTTTAACCATAAATTAGGATCCATTTTTAATTTTGTTCTGTATTTATTTTTCAAATACAACAGGGGGGGAGTCCTTGTACACACATACAGGTTGTTTAAAAAGACAATAAAAATTTAATAGCTTTATATGAAATGCCTTTATTTATTTATTATTAATATTATTATTGTTCAGTCAAAAGTTAATGTGTTACTTTTGAAATCTGTAGTTAGAGTTCGATCACAAGAAATTTTTATTAATTGTTCTTCTCTTTCACAAGATAAAATTTCAGGTATACTTGAAAAAAATGGATTTCGAATCCAATTTTCTTTTTTATAACCCTCGGGGCATGTTGAAATTATTTATAATGAAAAACAATGATTTTTAATGCTAACTCTTCCTTTATTTTCAAATTTCTTTTGGTTAGAAAACTTTCTAAAAGTGGTGAAAAGCTTAAAATACTATTATTCAATTCTTTGATTATTAGCTCGAGTTTTTTTATCATTGCATTTATTTTATTTCTAATGATAAGCCAATTAACACTATGTCAAATTAACACTTTCGTAACCTTAAATTTAATTCATTTAACGTTCCAAAAATATCAGCTAATTATGCTAAGTGCACCAACCATAATACAATTCGAATTTTGAATCACAGAGGAAAATTTAAATTTCTGATCGAAGTTAAAGAAGATGATTTAAAACTTTGTCTCTGGATTATTTTAAAAAAAGCGCTTTGTGTTTACTGCCTATCTCTTGGCATATAATCATAAATATTCTTAAATTTAAAGCTTGACTTTTAATAAAATTAACAATTTTCACAGCTTGATTAAAAATGGTTTTCAGGGATTGCTTTGGTTACTAAAGCTTCAGAGTGAATGGAGCAGTGAATAAATTTAATTTCAGATGCGATTTTCTATATTCGAGAACTATCACTGGAATGTGTTTCTGTTAAAGCCCAAGCTCTGTCACTGCATACAGCAATGCACTTATTCCAATGAATATCTTTCTCAGACATAAAATTGTTAATTCCTTTGAAAATTTCATTTGAAGTTGCTCTATCATGAAGAGATTCAGAAAATAAATACGCTTCAGCAATTCATTTATCTTCTTCAAAACATATGTAAACTAATATTTGAACAAAGATTGTTATATCTGTACTTTCATCCAATTGCAATGTGAAATACTCACTGTGTTTTATTTTTTGAATAAGTGTCTCTTTTATGGAATTTGCCATTTTATGAATTCATCAACTTACTGTATCATTTGACAATGAAATATTATTAAGTTCAATTGCCACTTTTCGTTGAATAACATAAAAATATCTTTAGCTGTTGGTAATATAACGTTTTCTCCAATAGTGTGAGCCTGCCCAGTCTTGGCAATTCTTAGGCTCACTAAGGTTAGCTTCCAAAGCTTTTTCACTTGAAGTAACAAAATTTTTCATTACTTGTTTACTATTTTTGAACTCCCATAATTTCCTCTTAAAATATCCTTCAGATTTATCCTTTAAATTGGCATGCTTAGATTCAAGATGTTTTTTAAGAAATGATGGTTCATACTTTAAATGGATAATAGTTCACCGCAAACAACACATTGAGGTTGAGGGTCCATTCCACCTAAACCCAAATGATAAATAACTTTCATTACATTTTCTATAAATAATTTTTCTTTTCTTTTCAATATTCTTAGTGCTAGTAAATTGTCCTGAATCCATCACCTGTGAATCATCACTTTTCCACTTAATCAATCCTAGCCATTTTTCCATTTTTAAAATCTAGTTTTGTTTTATTATTTTTTCGCGAATATTTAAATGCACAATACATTACAAGTTCTTCAAAAACAAACGATATTCTGAAATCGCAGAGAAAAGTAAGGAATACAAAGCAGAAGAGACAAAGGCAATATAAAGTGTAGACATGCTAATAAATTAATCAACTCTAACAGAATTAATGAGTTACTATTATCTTTTTATAAGAACTTAGTTTTATTTCTTATTAAATACAACATCCGTTTCTATCACTCCTTATGACAAATTTTGTTACGTCTTTGGATAAAAGAATATGTGTGAAAAAAGAAACAGATTATTCTATGAGCAGCTATTGACCTTGAACAAAGCTTAGATTGCATACATTTACGAGCATTAGATAAAAACTTAAACAGGATGTTGGGGTATTTAATTTTTGAATTTAATAATTAAAAATGCTTTGTTTCTTTGCATATTACCTATTTTTTCCTTGCACACCACTGGTTGAGAATGGTTGCTTTAGACCAAATCTGAAATATCTTTTCCTGTTACAAGTCTTGCAATGTCTTGGCATTACTGGAACTACATTCGTTTCTTCTTTTTGTTTACAGCTGCAAGAACATATCCACTATTTCATTTTTATCTTGCCTCATTCTCGAAACCAATGCAAATTATCTACAGAAAATACAGGATATTTCATACCGAATGGGGCAAAACGAAAGCATACCTGTAAACGGTGTAAATACTTAATTTTGATAAAGCAAATCTGCAGTAAAACTATAGTTATCCAAGTTTCGATAACTATTCTATGAGGGTCCCTACGGTGACACAGCAAATATTTATGTGGTATTCTAGTTCTCACCACATGCGTAACATAATATCCTTTGTTAATGATTTGAACACTTTAGTTATCTGCTGCTTCAGTTGCTGTAAGTCCTAGGGAAACAGAGGCACAAATGCTTTTTCTTTATAACAAAATCCTACAGGAAAAGATCCCAAGGGGTTAGATCTGGAGATCTTGGTAGCCAAAAAAGTAATGGCCTATCATTTGACCCAGCTTACCCAGAGATGGAGTAGACTAGCGTTCAGGTACTGATATGAATTTTTATGCCAATGTGGTGGAGCAGTATCTTCTTCTTGCAGAATGAAGCTGGGAAACACTTCCTCCAACTTAGGAGACAACCACTCTGACAGCATATCTTGGTAAATGTACCATCAATAGAATTTTACGTGAAGAAAAAAAGAACCAAAAGCACAACTGCTGGAAATTGCGCAGAAAATATTCATCTTTAGAGAATCATGCTCATGTTCCAACGTGGATTTTCTGTGTTCCCAAATTGTAAATTGTGGTGATTAGCTTTGCCAGAAATGTGAAAAGAGCACCTTAATTGGTAAACACAAGACTATTTGCAAAACCATCTATCTCCAGCTTATCTTGAAAACTCACAAAAAGCTTTACGCAACAGTTTATTGGAAGGTTTTAATAGCTGCACCATCTGAAAGGCGCATGACAGGAAATGTAGATGTTTCTGTAACACATTGCCATACAAGGCATAAGTAACACATTGCCATACACATTGCCAAAAAATTAAGACAAGCAATTTAAATTTTTTATATGCTATATCTATAATTTGTATCTTTGAAATTTATCTAATTATATAATGATGAATCAGTTCTTTTAAAGCCATGTCAGAACAGCTTCTGCACCTTTTGGAAGCATTTCTAACAACTTTCATATTCAACAGGGTTTCATAATCAGCTGTTGTACTTTCATATTTGAAGGTATACAGGAAATTGTACGCTTTAATGTCTGAAATGAATTTTTTAAAAATTCTTACATAATGTTGTCACTATAAAAGATAAATGTACATATTTCAACATGATGACAAATAAGATGATTGTTTTTATAATTTTAGATGTGAAATTTCTTTTTTCATCCATTTGGCTGTTCTACCATGAACTACATTTTTTTATATATGAAACTAACAACTTTCCAGAAACAAAAAGTGTGCAAGAGTTTTAATTCAATTTCAAAATATACACCAATGTCTTCAACAAGCTATAAATAAAATATATTTAAGTTTATTTCTCTGACTTATTGTGGTGATGGATTACTTTTAGAGCAGGTAGTGGCAATCAGGACACTATAAAAGATAAATATATTTGGAGTATATTATGCTACTGATATACATAAAATCTTACTGAATTATGCTATAAATATATATATTTGTACCATGCACTGCATAAGCAGCACCTGACGATTCACATCCTATCTAATGAATTCATTAAATGATATCAGCCAATTATAGTTTATGTTTGCTGATCCTAACAGTAGTTGCATAGGAAAATAAATTTGAGTACTTGTTCTTCAGCCACTCATTAATGCTTTTGTATCCACTGCAACTGACAAAGCATCAAAAGCTTCTAGACTTGATAATCTTATAGAAAACAATCTAAAATTTTCAGATTACAATCTAAACCTCAAACCAGAGTTTATCCTTAGGATAAAAAAATAATAATATATGGATTATAAAATATAAAAAAATCATAAAAATATTTCACTATTATTAAATAAAAATACCTACTGACATAAACTCATGAAACTAAATTTTTTATGTTGAGTAAAATAAAGTTAAAAAGAGAATTCTTCTCTAAACATTTTTCTCAAAAAGAATTTCAATTTTAAAAGATTCTTTTACCTCTGCATTTCACTTGTTAACACAAAATGATTTTAAGAGAAGTATTTGTATAAGACTGCGATCTATATGCTATTACACAATTTCACGATTAACAGTAAATTTTATTCTGCAGGCAAACAATAACATGCATAGATTAAAAGTAAAATTAGAAAGTATTAAGTAAAATTAGAAATTTTGAAGTCAACCAATCACAGGGTGTCTGAAATCTATTTTACTTTTGAATCTCATAATAAAAAATCCCCAGGGAATTCTTCAAAATTGGGACAGAATTGTTTAAGGTCATACTGTCACCTATAAAGTGCCAATGACAGATGCAATCCTGTGTGTCTCTATACCACAGAATTCATGAACTTTATCTGATGTTACTGTTATACGAGTGAATTCAGCATAATACCTCAGATTTCAATGCAATCTGTGCAGTAAGACCACTAGTTACCAGATTCCAAAGTTCTCTAAGCTATATATGTACTTCAGACTGGTCATTACTATCAGAATTCAGTTTCAGGCTTCACAAGGATTTAAAATGTGCAAAATCAGATAATGCCAGATATGGGGGGGGAGGAAGGAATGGTAGGACTTCAAAACTTTGGATAATAAGAGACCCTGACACCTGAAACAAAATAAATGATCTTAGATAATTTTGCAATAGGTCATAGCAATTCCATGCTTCATAATTTGGCTCTTGTGTAGGTAATGTTCAAGATTATTTTCCTCTTTTGTCAACAGACAATCAGTATCATTTTTCCTCCAGATGATTGAAAGTGCACTTTCTTTGGCTTATTGTACTTTCTTTGGAGAATTTATATACCTCCAGTGAGCTTCATTTGTTTAATAGTGTAATAAGTCACAATCCAGGTTTCACCAACAGTGCCTATCATATTAACAACTATTTTTCCTTCCCATTTGTACTGATCCAGAAGCTTCTGGCAAAATCATTTTATTTCCTTTCATCTTTGGAGTAAGAAACTGAGGCACCCACATGGCACTCACTTTCCAGCAGTCTAGTTAATTATGAATGATCTCACATACTGATCCATAACTCAGAGTCATTGTTGCAACCATCTCATCAATGATAATTCATCAGTTCTGAATTAAGTTCTCAACTACATTAAAGATAATAGAATTCACGCCACTAATAAAATTGCCAGGCCAAAAAGATATTCAAGTAATAGGATAATATTTTAAAATTTTGTTACCTACTTGTACCTTGATTTCATGACAAACACTTAACATAAATCATAAACTCTGTCAATGAATCTCAATGAGTCTTAGGCCTTCTGTATAACAGCACTGCATACAATTTACTTGGGTATAAGAATCCTGCTAAATGTCATTATTGATGCTCAACATGAAATAGCCTTTTCTTCTGTTGTAGATGTAAAACTACTGACTGTAATAACAAATAGCATATCTTTTCTCTGAGAACTATGCATATCAGTTACTTCAGGAAAACTTAATAGCACTTTTCTGATTGTCCCACCTCATAAAAGCAGTACTAATTATTATGCCATTTTACAAAAGGCAAATACAATGAATCTTGTTGTTTCATTTATGATACGCCAAACTCACCAGAGATACATTCAGAGAAGCAAAATTCCCACTTGACGCAGCATGACATACATCCACATCTTCTTGGCAAATATCCATGTCTTGAAAGAGACTCTCAGGGCTAGTATAATATTTAATATCAGAGACACCTTGAGCCCACGCACAGGATCCAGCAAACCAAAATATAGAAAGCACTCCAGTAGCCATAAAGTCCTGTAAAATAAGGAAATGATATTTTATATTGATTTTCAACCACAAAATGTACAGTTATACATGAATATATAGAATAGTTCTCAAACTCAAGGTTGTAAGTATATGTTGAGTTTCTAATAACAAATTTTTTAACAATTATTAATAATGTTGCATGTGTACGAGTTCATAACAAATTGAACATACACAGAACTAATGATAGCTGATAAAATATACACAGAACCGATGAGAGATGATAAAATTTATTTTTACCAAAACACTTTACAATTCTCAAGCTTTCCACAAAAAAATAATCATACAGCTTTTCTCAGTATCACACAGTACAATCAGTAGTTACATTTCAAACTACTAAATATGTTAAACATAGTGCAACATAAAGCGTATCAAAGAGCGAAGCACACAAGATGATCTCAATACTGAAAAACAACTGAGAAACTGATGCTTTCCCAGTCTTATATAGTTCCTCCCCCCCCCCCCGACTGCCAAAAAATCTCTAGTACCTTCCGCTTCTCGAAATTACTGGAAGGCATACAAGGGCCAGATACGCTTACAGGGATCAACAGGGATCAGGCTAAAACACTGCCACCTTTGATGATTTCGAATAATCCAATAAAATAATTCTTTAATCATCAAAACCATTGCCAGCTTTGCGATATCTCATTAATTTAGTGAGATAGCCATTTACTTAATGTTAAATGTACTAATACCTGTATTCTTATTTTTCTGGCAGAGCATAGTTTTTTCCAATCATTTCATGCTACATTATGCAAAAAAATACTACAATTTCATAGAAAATTTCACTGAAATATTTACATATATATTACATTTGTATATAAAATTTCACTAAAACATTTACACATGTATAAAATTTCACAACAATACTTTCTAAATATCCACAACCCCACTAAAATGTTGTAAACTTGATGCTGACTTAGAAGGACACTCGTGAACTTGTAACCAATTTTGGACAGAAACTCTTGTTTGAGTATCCTTATGTCTGTTTCAATGATGCAACCAGTTCTGCCTACTTTTTTACATCCTTCATTCAACATAGAAGACATGCACACTTCTTAGAGGCAATTTCATCAATCAACAGCTAGGTTTGAGGATAATCACAATTCTCTTCACAGAACTTTACTAATATATATTCCTGTGAACAGCTGTTGTAAATGTGATATGGCTATCCTCAAACCAGTTCCTGACTACATTCTAATATTTTGCTTGCTATTTCTCACATTGCATTTCCATAAAATTTGTCCTTTATGAAGTACAAATTCATAGAACGTGAATTTTTGCTTTCTCAATGGCTGGGCAAAATGTTATATTTCAAAAGTAATGCTTTCTTTTTTCTCAGCCAACAAACTCCATAGCCCCATTCTGATTTGTTACTACAAAAACAAATATACCCATAGCTAAAAAAATACTAACCTGGAAAATGATCTTAGAATTTCAAAAGTGCAAATCCTTGTGCACTCAAAACACATATATGCTACATGTATACCTGGGTTGCCTTTGACATGGTGCAGTGCCTCATGAAATCTCTTCCACAGTTTTTCAGTGGAGGTGTGGATGATTAAAAAGTACCACTATAGCTTCAATTAACACTTTAATCTTTAACAATTTATTCCAGATATTAAACAATCAGAAAACTGAAAGAGATGCTTACCATATCAGGAAATCGATACAAAATACTGATAGCAGGTTTATGAATAAACATTATAATACTGTTTATGACATACGTTGATATAATTTAACAAATATATACTATGATTATTCACACCCTTAGTTTCATCATTCCATACAACTAGCATTTTCATGTATGCAAGCAACACCAGGCAACTCATACAGGTGCATACCTTACAGACATTCGAGTACATGTTTATGTAATGCAAATACAGCACAAAGCAGTAACAGGAGTCGGAGCTGGAGTCGCTAAAAACAGGTCGACTCAGACTCTGACAAAAGTTTTCGTTGGGCAGTTTGAATTTGAAATGAAATTAAAATGAATTGAAAAAAAATTAATGACAAGCTGGGTTATTATTTTTATTTACGGACTGAATTCATTAATAATTATTTTCCATTTTATTGAACTATTAATAAACAAATATAAGGGAGGAGGATGGATCTGATATTGGCCATTAGTGAACTTATTCATTTAGTTACTTAATTTAGTTACAAATCTCACTGGTAAATTTAGGTAAGCAGCAATAGCAGCAAGAACTCCTAAAATTGATGCCATTCTTAGGAAGCAAGCAGGAAAAGGAGCAATTATTGATCAAGCAATGTGATAAGGAACTACATATTTGATGATAAAGAGGTTTTTAGAATTAAGAATTTTTTTAGGAGATGAAGATAACCCTAATGTTTTACTAACAGTAAGACTGTGGATTGATCTTGCAGAATTGGAAACACTTCTTTCTATAGCACACAAAAGCTGCAGTCTGAAGAATTGACAGGAGGGGAGAATGGGATGTTTGTTCTTTCTGAAATGGTTGGCGTGTTGGTGTATTTAATTATGGCAAAGCACACGAGGGCTATCTGCCTAAGGGGAGGGATGCCTTCGTGGAGGACTTTCTAAGGGAAACTGGCTCGTAACACATTAAACCATGAAAACGCCCATGCAGCCAGCCTGTTCGCGAGATTCGAACCTCGGATCAAACTACCAGTGTTCAGCGACTTTACCGCTCGGCCGCTGGTGGGCCTCTTTCTGAAATGGAGGACTTATTGCAAAAGTAATCATTTCTTCTTCGATGAAGAAAGAGAAACTAGTTTGCGAGACAATGAGGTCTTGTTGGGTTCAATATATTCTTGTTGGGAGATTCGAACCGAATTTTTCTTGGATGGCGAACAAATTAAAAAGGCAAAGAAAGTCATCTATGAACTTTCATTAAGAGTGAAATTATTCTCAGAACAATTGGAGAATTCGAATCAGGACAGTCAAACTGCAGACATTGCAATTGAGTCTCTATCATCAGTCTTTTCCATTGATGAATTAGATTTTGGGAAATATTTTTGGATAATATTGAAAAGGCTAAGGCAAAGCCAATGAAAATAAAAAACAAGAGCCTTTAGATATAAAAATGAAAAAATACAAACAAGATTTCTACACGGTCTTTGGAGAAATATGATTGCACTTGCAAGACATCTCTTTTAGAACTTATAAAAATCTATCCTAAAAAGTTAAAAGAAGTAGCTCTTACTCCTACTCAAGTTAATGCGGAAAGACTCTTCTCAGCTCTGAAGTTTATCAAATCGGATCTATATGGCTCTCCGACAAAGAAAATCTGCTATACTGTTTCATAGAAATAACTAATGCTTTTTCATTTCATAATAAATACTAATTAATATAAATAATTTGCTATTTTTTTTTTTCTGTAGCATCTATTACTTCTTTTATATTAAAAAAAATAAGTGGTAACCCATGAGTATATGTTTACATATATATATATATATATATATATATATATGAGGGAGTCAGAGTGGAAGTGACTCCACAGCCATGGTTATAATACAATCAAGCGTTAATAAAATAAAAAGTTGTCAGAGTCGAGTTGGAGTAATTAAAATTCCAAGAGTCGGAGACTATCATTTTCTCTACCGACTCCACAGTCTTGGTACAAAGTCCAAAATCCAGATGTCCAATATCCGGAACCATCTAAAATCTGGACCTCAAAACCAACAACGTTTTTCTAGTAGCCTCAAAGGCATATGCATTTGATTCCCTCTCCACACATAATAAAATATCTGGAGAATCTCGATTCTTAATTTCACTTCAACACTATATAAAATACCTTGTTATTGAAGAAACAATCTTTTTAGCATAAATTTGTACGATCAGTAATTTGGCTCCGTTGCTGTGTATCTGCTTGGCGCACATCTCAAACCGAAACATTCCACATAGATACATCGTTGATCTGACACCAACCTGGCGAATCATTACTTACTATATTTTCCTTTCATCACCGAATGTTTATCAACACATGACAACTTGAGTAATGTAGCGATGCATAAACAATTTCTTTTATGTGAGTAATTGAATAATAAAAGAGTATGGTAACCTTTTATGTTGACATCATGCTTGGCAATGATTACAGATTTAAGTTAAATGCACTAAAAAAAAAAAATGTTTACGAGGAAAAACTTAACAAAACTTTCTTTCAATATGGTAAAAATAGATTTTTTTGATGATATTCATAGACCCAAAGATTACATTTAGAGATATTTGAATTAAGAATAACTGATTCACATAAACCCAGAACCGGCCCCAGGGCTCGTATGGCCGCACAGGGTTGCAGAATTTAGGACCGACGAGACTGCATCAGGCAGTAAGATATCTAACACCGGCCCTCAATAAGGCTTAAATATATGTGGGAATTTATTTATTCAGAACTCTGATAAGCCTTAAGCATGTGCAAGAAATAGACATAAGTATAATAAATAACTAAACTAACAAAATTCAAGCTTAATTGTCTCAGTGCGCAATAGAAGCAAGATAAAATTTAACGGAACAACTTGTCGTTAGTCGCCAAGCTCATGATGCATAGTGAAATATGTATTGTGAACGATAGCTAATTTGATGATGATAGCCGCGAATTTTAAAGGTTTTTGGATATCGCAAAACAAGGTAAAATTTTTCCAATTAACTGATTTTGTAAAGAAATGTGCAGAAGCGGTAATAAATAAAGATGATATAAAAGAAGTTTTTCTTTGTGATGACAATGCTCCTTAATCATCAATCAATTAATGAATGGCAAAATCTGGCTCTAGATCCAGAAACTACCGCTATCAATAGTGAAGAAAGTGACAGAGAAGTTGCTGACAATTAGTCAGAATTCTCAACACAGCAGTTACAGGACATCAACAATATAACTGAACAGGAGATTAAGTCTGTCTACAGAATTAAAGAGAAAGTATTAGCACAAAAAATGAAGCAACTTAAACAACTTACATTGAAAGAAATGTTTAATAAGGTAAACAAATATTAAGCTTTTTTTGTAATTTTT